GCACAAACCAGGCAACTTTTCTTTTGACTTGGTGAAGGGTGGAATTTGGATTTGGAAAGTTTCCGGTTTTGGACCGCGCTCAGACCATCAGGCCTGGTTTTTAGTAGTTAGGACACGACTTTAAAAACATTCTTCAGCGGTGAGAATAAAAGCTGTGTGGTGAGTTTTCTCCCTCACTCCCGGCATGCCAAAGCTATCAGCTGTTGGGGTGAGACCCAGCTGCCTCGTGTGTTGACTTTAGAGTGATACCCATCAACATTTGCCGCATGAAAGGAGGAAAGAGTGGCACTCCTAAAATGAGGGAATAAATAAAGGTAATATTAGGACTATGTTTGAAATAAGACCTCCGCTTTTATCAGGTGTGTGCTTTTGGCTACATCAGATAATATATAAATCACTTCCTTTCCTGGTAGGATATAACAGATGCTGCTGTAGGATAAGGTATTCTGAGCCCCTACAATTTACTTGAGGACTTTAAACAAGCCCCAAGTACAAGGTACAATGTTGTGCATCCTCTGCTTTGATTTAAAATTGGAATATGTTTCTACTCATGCCTACAAAGTCTAAAATTACCAAGCATGTACTCTTTGCGTGCCAGGAGTCCATGCAGCCAACGCTATCTGAGGTATGCTCCTTAAACTGGCCTTGGTGCTTTTATTCCAGCCCCCTCGGGGCATTTGAAACAGTTCACTGCGGAGCTGGAAAAAGTTTAATCACAGAAAGCAATGACTGATCCGGAAAAATGGCCACCCTTAATTTGAATGACCCCTTCTGCGGTTGCACTGAGTGCAGGACGGTGTCACTTAAGGGCTCCTTGTAAAATCCTGTGGATAGGCCCTAAGTGCAGCCTGAGCTGTAACTGATACCGCTATGTTTGTAAAGAGTTGGTGATAATACATCCTTGTGTTTGAGCTTCCTCCTGCCACGTGTGAGAGGAATGCCAGGGTCTGAAATATGGCTTTCATTAAGTCACCAGGCCTTTAGTCTTCAAACAAGGGAACCCGGGGATCGGTATCCGAAAGGTGAAGAGTGCAGCTCTCTCAGAACCACTGAAAGGTTGTCTGGGAAGAATTTAGAGGTAAAAAAAATATGAGCAATGATGCAGCCTGATTAAAAAATTGTTTTTTGGAGGCAGAAGTTGCTTAAAGTCGAAGAAGTAATGGCTTGGTTGTTGCTATTGATGTTCATAGTTAGTCTCTGGTGGTGGAGCCGTGGCCTAGGGTTCTCCGCCCATTCTAGGAGAACATAGAACGGACATTGTGGAGGGTCGCACGATTCAAAGCACTTAAGCTGCCATAGAAAATTAAAAAGCGATGCAAATTTGACGTGTTGCAACTTTTATTGCACATTGTGCTAAATGTAAGCATGGCCACAATGCATTGCATTTGTGCATAAAGCAATGTTACTCATTGTGCTACTGCTCACTGTCATTCCAAAACAACAAGAAGAAAAGGTTGCACAATGCAGTCTGCTTAAGACATTGTGACTGGTGTTAAACTAAAGATAAATCTTAGTGGTCCAGTGAACTAGACCACTGGCTTGACCTGGCTACCGTCCAAGTCCAACCCACACCATTGTGTTTTAATCTTATTTATTTTTCTGAAATGTTAATTTTTCACCATACCATCCCACGTTTGTCTCATCAGTTCACCAAATATTTACCGAGGGGTCCTGAGGACCATCAAGGTGTTTTCTTGGAAAACATGAGTTGACCCTTTGCAGTCTTTTCGGGCGGCAGCAAAAGGATCAACTCCCCCGCATGGATAAAAAATTTTTGTTCAGTCTCTTTCTCATTATTGAATTCTTCGCACACAAAGAAGCTCAAACCAACAGAAACTGTTTCAATTTGTGATAAAACATCATAGTGACAGTTTTATCCTGTGACTCTCACAGTGGAGGTCAGCCAGCCCCACGATAGGTCACAAAACTTCATGTCGTGGGCGGAACAGTAATAAAAATCAACTGTAGGTTATTTGCATTTGCACTTTTGGCTTGCCAGCAATGAAAGGAAACCTTGACTGAATGATGTCATCTTTCCGCCAGAGGTGACTTGATTGGTAAGAAGCTGAAAAGTTTGGCAACCTCTAGACTCATTCTTCTTTGAGTCTAGAGGTGCCTGAATCACCAGTGGTTCCTACTGAAAAAAAAATTTATATATATACCAAGGGATTTTAAAGGTCCCGCTACATTGGGCTTTGCAGCAGTTCTGTTATTTTCTTCATTTGTCTGTGAGCTTTTGTCTCCTCTCCGGCTAAATGGTCATTTCTTATGTTAAACAGCCCTGTTGTGTTTACAGAGGCCAGCCTGGCTGTGCTTCCACGCAGCTCAGCTTCCTGGGGGCTCCTCGTCCCCGCTGTCTCTCCTCCTGGCTTGAGTAGGTGTATTCAGGGGAACTGTGCTAATTCACATGGAAACTCTGCCAGAGCACCAGCAAGTCGGGCTGCTAATTACACCGATGTCGGATGGATGACTTGCTGACATCACAACACACACACACACACACACACAGAAAGAGAGAGAGAGAGAAAAAGAGAGAGTAGGAATGGTTGTATGTGTGTGAAGCCAACCAGAGTCCAAAATCAGCTAGGAAGTTAACCAAGCAGCCTTCAAAATAAAATTCTGCTTGATCGATTTACAACAAAAGAGATGTTTTTCACTTGATGGAGGAATAATTATAGATTTAACCTGAATCTAAGTTTGACTCAAATGGTGAATAATACCTGTAAAAGGGGCGCCACATCGTAGAACAGGGACAGTCTGCGATTCGACCCCCCCGAGCCACTTGCTGCATGTCTTTCCCTCCTCTCCCTTCTTTTCTTCCTTGTCTTCTGTCCAGCTACCAACGAATAAAGAAGAATAAATAGATAATGAATCATGCTACAAAAAAAATGTTTAGCATTTACAGCCCGCAGTAACGCCAATGTTTTTAATGGTTATAATTCCTCCTATGTGTTTAAGTGAAAAAAGTGACACAGCACTAGTTTCTCTGGCATCTCAGTAAGTAATTACTTTCAACTTGTTGGGATGGCATCATAGGAAACGTTAAGGTTCTGAACTTTGTCTCACCTTGATGCCAGTAGCTCAGTTTCTGCTCATGTGGGCGATTGGCTGAACTTTCTTTTATTTTTGAAAAAGGTAGCCGGAAGTGGTTTAGCTACGACCGCTGACTTGACATCCTCATTAAAGTCGTGCTTGGTTTAAAGCGCCGCCGCTGCTCGCTGGCTTGTCCTGCAGCAAGAAGAGAGGCTCTGATGGACTCTTCCTGAGCGCACCGAGTGTCCGCCCGGATCTCTGCTTTGCATAAACTTTTCTTTTTCTTTTTCTTTTCTTTTTTTTTCTCTCGATTGGAGGAGTTTGCTTTTCTTTCAGTGGGGACTGAATTCACACTTCCAGTGGAGTCTGCGCTCTTCCTCGGACCTTCGGTCTCCGCTTGGAGGAATCTGTTTGCGGCAGTTTTCTGAACTCCTGCGCGTGTTTTGCGGCGAGGCAGAAGAGGCGAGAGGAGGAAAGCGGTGGGGGCTCACAAAAGGCTATTTTCGTGACCCCCTTCCGCCCCCCCTCACCACCACCGACCCTCCCTTTCTCCTCGGATAGATGTAGCAGAGGTGCGGGACACACAGGCTGCTGCGCCTTCGTGGCACCGGGGTGGCGCTGGAGCTGCGCGACGGAGTCTTGCAATGAGGAGCGTTTCACTTTAAAGCCCGCAGCAAGCGAAGCGGTCGGCTCGGTGTGCCATGGCTTAAGCCCGCGTCGGTTTGTGAGAAGGTGAGCTGCAAAATTTCATTCTTTTTTTTTGTATTTTTTTATTATTATTTTTATTTTTGTTCTCAAACCATTTGAACGCGCAAGCCCTTACCCTATGTCCTCTGTGATCCAAACGGGTAAAAGCGCGCATGTCGTGTTGAAAACAACGTGTCTTCTTACCCACTGATTATTTAAAACGTCAGATGGTGTTTTCATGTTTCGTTTTGCTTATTGAAAACCATTTCTTTCTTTTTTTTAAATGATTTATTTTCCCTCTTGTCTAAATCAACACCTGTTTGTAGGATTTCATATGAAGTGGGGGGGAAGTGAAGTGTAAAAGTTGTGGCTTTCACTCTCTGGACGTGTTTCCATTGGTGGCACTCACGCGCACGCACACACACACCCACCCACCCACACACACACACACACAACCCCAAACCCCCTGTGGCGCAGCGGTCAGCTTCATGTGTGCCACGGTGCCAAACGGATTGCACTATAAAATTCATTTAAAGCTTAATAACTACCCTCTCTCTGTTTGTCCTCTGTATTTTGCAGTTGGAAACAACTGGCAATGGCATCGGAGGATGTCATTACAGAACCCCACAGCGGCTTATTGGACCGTGACGGCGGTTTACTTATTACTCGCCGTTTAGCAGTAAAGAGGAACACTTTATTAGCACTTGAATGGACCGGAGGGGTAACTGATGAGTAACGTGGCAGCTTGGAGCTGCAGTCACTGGTTTGAGAAAGTCACCAAGTCGACAGGAGCCTAATTAGAAGCTTTACGCATTAACTTCCTACATATATATATATATATATATATATATATATATATATATATATATATATATATATATATATATATATATATATATATATATATATATATGTATATATATATATGTGTGTGTGTGTGTAGGAAGGTTATATATGTAGGTTATATATATATATATATAGGATATATGTATATATATATACATTTAGTATATATATATATATATATATATATATATAATATATATATATATGTGTGTGTGTGTGTGTAGAAAGTTAATGTGTAAAGCTTCTAATTAGAAGCTTTACACATATAAATATATATATATTTTTTTTGAAGAAGAAGTTATTATGCTAAATATTCTCATTTTACATATAGTAAACCTTAAAAGTATGATTTTTTTTTTTTTTTTTTTTTTTTTTTGCCGTATTTTGTGGTTATTACTAAATTTCCCACAGGCTGAAGGATAACAAGCAAAGCTCCAAGCTGCAGTGTCATGTGCCAGTAACGCAACAAGCATCTGGAGGGGCTGCTGGTTGTGCCAATGCCAGATGAGGTTGATAGGCTGTGTTTCTGTTCTCTGGTATGGAGCACAAACCTAAAAGAAAATGCTAGTGCAGTTGAGGAAAGGAGAAGCACAAAGCAGAATTCTCCCATCTCTAGTTTTGCAGAGCTTTGACCAGTTGCAGCTGATTCTGACCTTTCCTAAAGAGCAACAGCCGCTGTACCAGAAGTCAGTGTAGAATTTAGAACCAAATCATGTTTGTTGAGGTAACATTTTTAGCTGTCTTTAGTGTCTTCAATTCATGGTTGTCACGCTTCGCAATGCAAACGCCCTGGAGAGGCCAGAGCCTTACTTTACTTTTGAGATTTTCAAAACGCCACATACGAATCCCAAAACTCCCTGACAGGTAAAGGTTGAAAGCTCGAGAGGATAAAAAGGACCAACTTTGCCGCAATACATTTAGCCTTCCTGTTATCTGCTGAGAGTCTGACCCTCTGTTGCTGTCTCTCAGCCTCAGTGCACCACAGTCATGTAGAAAACAGTTTCAAATCCCTTGCGCTCAGTGGAAGTACTTCATCATAATAGATGAAACTGAAAAAAGCCGTAAAATTGTTCCGTTTCCGGCTGATCTCTCAGTACATCACTATTTTCTTTGAACAATCTTGTCCACAATGCTTCCAAAGTAAAATTTCAATTCAATTTGTGCTTAAGTTAAGTTCATAGCTCGTGACCCAGACACCGTTGGACCAGAAGGCAGGACCTCGGCTATCTGTAATCTGAAACTGGCTTTGACAGGTGGAAGCAGGACTAATCTCCAGCTTCGGTAACACATTGCATCAGACTGTCGCTAATTGGATTAAGGAGGGGAACCAAAAAAAGAAAAAAAAAGTCGTCCGGGCGAACGCCTCAGTCCTGTTTTAGCATTGATCAACTCCTGATGATTCTATCGTTAACAGTTTTGAAGCATCGTTTGTCTCGAAGCTTCCTACATTTGTACACACGGTTCTGATCAGAAAGGTTGAGAGTTGATTAACAAAAGGCGAGTTGCTTCCATTCACTTCTTCCAACGTTAGCAAACGAAGTAAAATAGATTAAATGACGAGAAAAGATCAACACGGGACTTGGACGCCTCCTGCGTCCAGCTGTTCTGTTGCTATGTTTCCTGAGGAGCGACCTCATTAGGATCGGATTTTTAGCCCGGTTCTCAACAGTGATGCCATGGAAACGTTTCAGCGGTTTGAGGACTGAATGAGTGTTTTGCTTCAAAGGAGGCAGACAATGTTCAAACTCCATTTGTGTGGTATGTAAGATCCACACAAATGGATTTAATTTGCTTCAAATCGTCCAAAGTAATACTTGGGGATGCATTTAAATGAGGGCAATGCAATATGTCAAATGGGACTTTTTCTTTTTTTTTGCAACGTTAATGCCGTGAATCACATGGGAGGCAGTGTTTGGAAGGATTTTGTATTTTAAGTGTCTTTTGTACAAACTCTGCACGCAGATGACACTTCTAGCCTGTTAATTGAATCTCACAGGGATAAATTCGATGCATATTTTTTGTGGCTGAGATGCTTACGCTCCCATAGAAGGGTGGGAACGTTGCGATGAAACAAAAGAGAGGAGGGGGAAAGAAACAAAAGTCAGATAAGGTCAAATTGCCATAATCAGCGTTGTTATTGCGTCTGTTAGGGTTGCTTTGAATAGGAAATCGAGTTTATTCTTGCTACCAACCAAAAATAAATGTAGTGGCAGATTTCACCCGGGTGGTTGTCAGTGTGTGGCAACGAGTCGAGCAGTCCTGCAGTTTGTGAAACCGCATCTTCAATTCGTTTCACTAATGACAGTAACTGGCCTAATTTCAATATTAGCATTTCTTAGGATCATAGCCAGTGTTTTGGTCTAAACAATTCATTATATGGATGAACAATTTGTATTAATTTTGTATTTTGTAGGCAGCAGAGACTTAAAATGACTTTGGTGCATTTGACTGATGCAAAGAGTCGTCTGTCAGACCCCAGTTGCAAATTAAAATGACCCAGAATCTGGGTAAAAGGGCCAAGGTTGTAGAGCTGTGTGAGGATAATTAACTGGAAACTGTGAATCATTGTCCACTGACATCATGGTCACAGCGACTGCCATCTGAAAAGCATACCCCCCCAGTACTTAAGTAAACCTCGCATTCAGCCCGACCAATGATATGCCAGCATTTACAACTCCCCCCGGGTCGAGAATGGGCCGGCAACGTTGAGAAGTGGAAGCTCCCTCCCCGCCCCCGTTACTTCCTTCTCTGTACCTTGGAATCATTTACGAGGCATTTGCGATGTACTTGACTTGCGTTTCCAGAGTCGCTAAATCTGATCTAATTGAAATCATGCAGCTTGCTCAGCGGAGCTTGGGGATTGTGTTTCGGCGGAGGGGAAGTCCCCAGCAGGTCGGAAAAGGCGTGACGTCAATCGTGGGGTATGACGGAGAAGCGGGCCTTGTAGGTGTGAAGCATCTACTTCTGGAGATGTTTGCTAGGTGAATCTCTGGGGGATCGTCACAACATCTGGAAAGAGGCCGGGTCAGAGAGGAGCTTCCCCTATAATAATCACCAGACCCTCCGCTTTGAATTCCAGATACACCGTAAGAGGCGAAGTGGAGGACAGGGTCGTGAAGTGCTTCCTTTCGCATCAGCTCGGGTCATCCTTCTCAAGAAAACTTGGTCTCTGCCCAAGGGAGGCGTAACGTTTGAATTGCTGAAAGCATGTCTAAAGGATGGAACAGATACTCATGTGTTTTCCATCTCATCATGTGCTGCTACTATGGATTAGTGATGCATGCAGCTCATGAGAAGAGACAATGCAGCACCTCTGACTTACAAAAATGAAGCAAACTGGGATTATGCCACAACAGTGAGGGGAAAAAGAGAAAGAAAGACAGATTCCAGTTTTATTTTCACAAATGCCATATAAAAGTTTCACAAACTGATTAGTGAATAGATGTTCCAAGCCTGACTCCTCAACATATTGGTGACTTTGTGCATGTCTTAATTCTGGAAAAAAAGAGAAAACAATTGAAATCATGTACCCATTTATTTGTACACGTAAAATAATAGCTTCATATGTCTGAAACTATGATTTTTATAGAGTCTATTGTTCAGTGCACAAATATCCCAACAAGTTTTTTTATCGGTCCAAACGCTGATCAAATGTGGTCAATGCATGCTTTGTCTTCTATACATCCTCAGCAGAATCCAGTGACCATGCTGGTTGTACATAGGACAATGCTGCATCGTCATTCTCTTAGTCATTCCTGCGCACTGCCAGACAGCCTACTGCAAGAAGACTAGTATTATTTCTCTAGCGTTTCAAATACATTTAGGTGAAGTATATTTTTTTCCCCAAAAAGTTGTGCTGTGTCTTTTGTTTGTGACAAGTCAGCTTTCTTTCCGCACACACCACCACTAGTGGGAAGCCAGTCGAGCTGCTGCATGAAGGACTTAAAGGCGGTGGAGGCCTTATTCAGTGATTTTGTCATTGAGTGTTTTCTTGATTAATCATTTCTGGTCGGCTTTGGAGGCCACATCCTTTGTTGAATATTAGGGTGTCAAGTTGAAAGCAAACCCGTTTATATCCAGTGTACCAGTGACTTCACCAGACAAAGGCACACGCTGATGCAACAACTGAAAAACACTTTGCAAGACAGCCTGCACTATGAAACACGCATAGCTCAGTTATCAATCTTAAAGTGTCTCAACTAACCAATCAGTTTTAAACGGCTCATAATGCTTAAGGTTCTGTTCTGTGACTGGACCATAACCCCGGTAATGACGCCTTGCTGTATGGGTTCAGATTTGCTTCGCCCTCCTCCCCAGTAGGTCTGATTGACTTAATCTTTTCCATCACTGCTTCTTCATCAATATTCATTGCAGCAACATCTGGGAACTTGGGATCGTTTGTTAATATGCATGCATTCCGTTTGCGAAGTCTTTGGCTTGCCCTTCGACAATGAAAGCAGAAGATGCAGAAGTCTGCCTTTCTGCACACACTGAGAGAGAGAGAGAGAGAGAGCTGACGAGGCTTCAGGCATATGAAGAAGAATCTTAAGAGTTGATGATGGTTGCGTCCCACTTAGCATTTATTTAAAGTTTTTCCTCTGTGTGATTGAATCGCTAATGACCAGTCGAGGCACGTTTGTTACCCTGGCCAAATGCAAGCAATATCCGGGGATAACTAGGGTCCTGTGGTTCAGGTCTGTCATTATTTCAAACCAAACCGGAGCGCTTTAATTAAAGTCGGACAAGAGGGGAGTTTTAATCTAAAGAAAAGAATTTACAAACGTGACAAGAGCAATTTAAATATATCCCTTTCTTCTTGTTTTCTGGGTATGTAGCAATTAAGGACTAAGAACTAACCAAAGCTATAGAAATAGAGAGCCAAAGTTGCATAAAATAGTCTTTATTAGGACCGAAAGGTGTTGCAACCTCATAATACAAATGAACAGCATCCATGTTAACTCGGGGAATTAGCCATTTTGCTGTTTGCCTTGCATGTGCGCATCCTGCAACAGATCCACTCACTTGAGGCATCGATGTGTCAAACTGTGTCCTGGGTGTCCTTAAGCTCCTCCGTGGCGCTGACTGTCAGACAGCATCCATCTGGGAAGGTAATGAGATTCTGTCTCCTTGGTTTAGCCGCCTGAGGGGGTTACGGGTTTGTGTGGTGCGACCTTTCGACCTTTCCATTTTCCCAGTCTGTCGAGGACGTACAAATTGGAATGCATACACCGTCTCCTCAGTTTGCTTCTGAATACATATTGGGTAGATTAAAAGGGGGAAAATATAGATCGACTCAACCCTAATCAGGTACTTAACCCACATCTATTGTATTTATTTTATTTATTTATTTATTTTATGGCATCTTCACATCCCTACTTTATTCTAATAAGAAGTTCTCAGTGAGTTTGAAACAAATTTGCAGAAAATAAAGCCTTTTATTGCTAATGTATTCTAGTAAGATGTTTGGAAGTGTTTCATGCCAACTTTGTTCAGGCTGCTGTGTAAATTTTGTTACTCGGAAAGCTCTGTTTTCTATTACTGCCACTGGTTGTATTGAGTTCAACTACTTTGCAGTGAGAAATGTTTTTACTTGTTCTCGAGTCTTTCTTCATGTTCGGATACACCCACTGTTTGTGGTACCACAGTTAAAATCCTTGTTAACGCTATTCATGCAACTCAAACCAAGTTGTGGGATCGTCCCTTTTTTTTTTCTCTTGAAATACTATTCTCATTACTTACTTACACGTTTTTCCCCCAATATACACGGGAGTTGCCTGACCGATGCTTCCCTCCTTTGTCTGTCCAACGGCAGGAAGATCTGTGTGCACTGCAAGTGTCGGCGTGAAGAGCATGCAGTGACAGCCATGCCGGTGGAAATGGAGAAGACTGTCACCAAGCTGATGTACGACTTCCAGAGGAACTCGACCTCGGACGACGACTCGGGCTGTGCCCTGGAGGAGTACGCCTGGGTGCCGCCGGGACTCAAACCGGAGCAGGTACCGGCACGTCCGCACACGTTTCATTCGAACCGCGCAGCGCAAACACTCGAAGGCGCTGGAGCTACACGGTGTTGACTTTGGGGTTTTTGTTTGTTGGTTCAAGCGTGAAAGTCCTGAGATTTTCTTGACGACGCCTGATGCGTAGCGATGTGTGTAGGCATATCAAAATAAGCCGTCACTGAAAAGAGCAGTTGCCATTTTGAAAGTTCACTTCTTTTAATAAAACAAGATGTCAAAAATGAAAAATATATATATATATATTTTCTCTAACTTATATGCTATGACAATGTTATGATTTACACAAGGGTTACTAGGATACAAATCTTAAAGGGCCAGAAATATTTAGTTTACTAATCCATTGAACTAATAACACGGTTGGTGCAGGTGTTTTCAAAATGACTTGGCCATCTAAAAAGTAAAAAAAATAAATAAATCCTTAGTGTGCCAACACAAAATAAAAAGTTTCTTTCAGTTTCTACTCCTCTAGAGTTCTGCTAAACAAACCTATCAAGATCTCAAGAAACAAAATGCTAAGAAAAATGAGCTTACATGGTCCTCTAAGTGAACACTTTCTTGGATTTTGTTTTTGGGTCACAGATGTAACAAGATTGGCATGGAAATGCTTGGCTGACGTGTCGGCATCTGATGGTCTTCCTGCTTTTGTGGAAAAGCAATGATATTGTGAAAGAATCGCAGAAATTCGAGGTTTTCAGAGAAGACCCAGTCGGCCTGTTTAGAGCCACGGGCCTGCACAATCGCTTGGCGTCATGTCACAAGGAGGATGAGCCACAAAGAAGAAACGAGCTTTTCGCAAAACGCTTCGATGGAAAGTTGAGCGAAAGGAAAACATTGGTGGGGAAAATATTGCATAAGCGGCGAGGATGGCAGCATCCTTGGGAGGATTGCAAACCAGAATACGAGAGATTGACAAGGCGTAGACTCCAGCTGGAGACGCCGCATTAAGAAACCCCACGCAGAAAACGAGTCCAGGAAAGTTTTAAAATCAATATGCTCAACCGAGAACCAGAAATCACATTAGAAGCATCTTAGAAAAATACTTAGACTGTGTCTCTCTGGTGGAGTGTAATTTTTTCAGATTAAAGTAAATTTTGAATTTTTATTTTTATTTATCAAGGCCTGAGTGGTGAAGAAAAACTTGAGTGGTTTTACTTAAGTGACTTGTAAATGTATCCAGTGAAAGGGTTTTTGCTTACAGCTTGCAGTCAAACTCTCGTTAGCTAAGTGACCAACAGAGACACGGACTAGCAGGTTTCACTCATCATCCTCCGGCAGATTAAGAGGTATAACTCCAGTATTGGTAAGTTGCTGCATGTTTGCGCTGACGGCGCCTTCACCGGGCTAACGGCTGACAAAGGATTACCTGGCTCCGGCCCTCAAATTAATCTCCCGATTGTTTCTGCCGCCGAACATGTTTACAGGAGGTTTCCTGGCCCTCACAAGCACTTGAGTGAAGCCTGCACAGCACATTAAGCAGCTTCACGCACGTTGGAGGAAAATCCTTCTTTACAACGCTCCGCTGAGCTGGAGGTGTCTCCGCTTTAATTGGACAATAGGGGCGTTTATGGACGCCGGTTTCATTTCGTTGAAGAGCTGAGTCAATACTCTGCTGGCAGAGGCTCCGGTTTTCTCCTCAAGACGACCGAGGGGAGCTTTTTATTTTTCCTTTCCTCCAGGGCTACACTTGTAAATCAAAGCTCAGCATGGTAGATCATTGTAAAAGAGAGAGAGAAAAAACTGTGAAGACCCTAAAGAGCAAGTTTAATAACTGATATATATTTTTTGTTCCACGGATGAGCCCTGCGTAACATCACTCAAAATTTATAAGAGCTTCTATTTCTAATATGCAGGAGTGCACAAGTGTGATGCCATCTCTGAAATGCTAGCACCTTTAAGCTGTGGAAACGTTTGCGTGACCTTTTGCACAGGAGCAGATCTAAACAAAAAGCTCAAGCTTTGGACCTAAATGGTGGGTTTTAGATTTCCGCTCTGGGAGCCAGAGCTCTTTATTAGTCTGCTATTCAGCTGGCAGTGGTGTAACGTCCCCCTCTGTGTAACGAGAGATTCCCGCGCAGCTGTACAGCAGTCAGGTACGTGGATTCGAAGGATTACTAAGGATAGCTCTGCTCTCTTTTGGGACCTAATTTACCCTAAACCAAAATATGACTCTGCAAGGTATCTCTCTTAAACCCAATAACTACCACTTTGCAGAAATGCAGTCTTCACCGAGCGGAGATGTTGTTGGGTTTTTGCTGTTGTGTTTTAGGAGCAGTGTGAGGAAGGCCTGTGTTTTGAAATAAAACTCCTCGACGTTGCCAGCTCACGGTTCAGCAAGGCCAAGAATGTAACTCTGCTGAATCCTCTTAGGGGCATTTTCCATTTTTTCGTTGTCATGCAGAGTCGGTCTCGGCGGTCACAGGGATCTGACTTTAATTTTCTGTCCAGCATGACGTATGCGTTTTCAGCTCTCCAACGCTGGATGTTTATACAGCATTTTGTCCTTCAGGTAATGAAATATAAGCTAGCTGCAGGGTCTGGACCCATAGCTTTAAAAAAAATGGAGAGAGAGAGAAAGAAAAGGAGTGATGGTAGTTTGACCTGTTTCCTAAATAGAGCTGAGCTCAATTAAAACAATTCCAGGCCAGCATGGGGGCCAATAAAACTGTCAGCAGCTGACTCAGCTCTTCAACAAAATGATCTACGAGTGACTGTGGCTATTCTCATTTGCATCACTGACAATTTTTTTTTAACAACTACTGCATGCATTGCAAAATGTTTGTGACAGATATTTATATACATATGTCCTACCCACCCGCCATAGGATGAACAAGGGATGGAAGGTTTTATGAGCAAATATCTTTAAAGTTCATGACATTCCCATCAGTCTAAGAGCGTCTATTGTCCTGTGACTTGTGACCCTTTTTACGGCATCACGTTTTCAGCCTCATTCGAGGAAATGCAAAGAAAGTGAAGGATTGTGGGAATTATAGCCAACGCGCCAATTAGCCATGTTAGCTGTTAAGTTGTTAGTTTAAAAGTAAAAGCACGGGACTGTTACTTTAATCATTTTAACAAACGCTCCCTCTGGTATGGCCTAAATGAATAAAAATATCATTTATTGTCCCAGAATGGGGAGATTTCTGTGCAACGGCACCAAAATGAGACATGATAACAGCAAATAAACCCATAAACGTTTACACAGCTCTGAAAAAAACAAAAAACTAAGAGCCCACTGCACTGAACCCCATTGAAAACCTGGATATTCCACCAAATATTGACCTCTGAACTCTTCCTGAGATAAAACATTAGTATTGGTGTTTCTAAATGAATATCAACTTGTTTTCTTTGCATTATTTGAGGTCTGAAAGCGCTGCATCTTGTTATTTTGTATGTTTATCATTTTCTGTGAATAAATACTACAATTTCAGAGACATGTCAGTAGTTCATAGAATAAAAGAACAACATTCATTTTACTCAAACACATACATATAAAGAGTAAAATTAGATAAACTGATCATTTTAAATGGGTGGTCTCTCAATTGTTTTCCAGAGCTGTATAAAAAACAGAATAAAGAATGAAATTACTGTACAGTAAAGGCATACATTTCAACATAATTAACGTGTAGTTATAAAAATTGTGCACTCCAGTCCATAGGAATGTACAACTGAGTCAATAATTCTGTCTCTTTCAGCATTAAAAGACAAAATATTTACAATTGCTGACGATAAAAAGACGACGAAAGTGTTAAATGATGTGAAACAAAACAGTAAGTTTGAAATGACTGCTAGCCAAGAGGTAGTAATTTGATTATTCTCCTGCTCAGTTTTTGGTTTCCTTTTAGTTTTTGGCCTTGACGAAACACATCGTCATTCAGCCATCTATGAGGTTAAGCCGGGGAAAACACTCCTTTCAGTTCAGCTGAAACGTCTGCCCCGTCTTGAGCTTCGTCTGCTCCTGATTACAGTTATTATCGCAAGCCTGGTTCTCGCTGTCTATCTGTGTGTGTGTGTGTGTGTGTGTGTGTGTGTGTGTGGGGTGGGGGGGTTTATCTATCTTTTGATCTCCCCCCCTGGGGCAGTGAGCCTTTCACCTCCAGATTCTAACCCTGCTGTTGTTGGAGGCATGCTTTGTAATTTATCATCAGCCATCAGCTCTACGTGTGTGTGTGCGCATGTACAGTACATTCTAGACTTCAGTCAGTCTTTCATGGACTGTATTCCAACAAACACAAGGGAACGCCAACCAAATCAGCGCAGGAGGAATTGCGTTGCGCACCGAGCGAGAGCTGTGAAATCATCCCAACCCAAACTTGCTTTGAAAAGGCTGCTTTACTGAAACACCGGCCGTCGATCGGGTTTTTCTTAATGGCCCCAGCTTTACAGTTCAGTTTGAAACCTTTTTAAGCGTTACAGTTTTATTTTTGGTCCTTGGCTCACCGGCTCCCGTTTGGAGGATTCAGGTTAATCCGTTTTTGGTGTCTCTTGGCAAAGACAAGTCTGAAATCTTCCAAGTCAGCAAATCCATTCAGTCATCGAGAAAGACGGCAAGTATCAATCAAAGAAACCGTTTCTACTGAGGACATCAGCTCTGATTTAGTTTTGCCTTTATGTTTAACGCCACACTTTTATCACTTTCTTGTATCTCTCTTTTTTTTTCCGTAACAAATTCTTCCAAAATCTCTCTTGTTCTCTCTTTTTGGCCTGTGTCTTTAATCCTTGCAGTTTTGCTCCTCCCCCCTGCGCTGACCTTTGTGGCACCCCAGCCCTGCAGATACAGTGTAATAAAAAAGGGGCCGTGATGAATAACAAGGAGATGACAACCATTGTGTGTCGCGAAAATGTGAGGAATGCAATTTGGATCCGTCCAGATTAGCATTAATCTGCGGCAGCACACACTGCGTTCATTTAGGTTGATCACTGCTTTGGCCGTACGAGTGTTTGTCTGTTTTTGTGTGTGTGAGTGTTTTGACAGGTCAGTGATGCATTCCCATGTCAATGTGCAGAGACAGAGGAGTGGGGTTCCATTAAGTCTCCACTGGTGGACCATAAATCAAAGTGATTTCTTAACTGTGTGTGTGTGTGTGTGTGTGTGTGTGTGGTGTGTGTGTGTGTGTGTGTGTGTGTGTGTGTGTGTGTGTGTGTGTGTGTGTGTTGATGGCTTGCTCTGGTAAAACTTAACCCCATTGTTGTCCTCTTTAAGTTTATTCAGTTGTTTTTTTTTTATATTACAAGTCAAATATTCAAAGAAAAAATAAATCTGCCTTTTGTCATATTTTACTCTTCAACAATTTTTTTTCAGTATAATCAGAAGGTAAAACATTAAAAAAAAATGGAAATACGGTTCGACCAAGAAAACCCTGATCTGTTCTTATTTAAAGATCGTGTTTGATTTTTTTTTTCTAAGGCAAAACAACTGAGAAGTAGAAATGTACCAAGTAATGGACCTGAATTCAGAATTGACCAATTTTCCCTTAAGAGCTGATGGACGTTTCACATACTGAAAAATCGTTTTGTTTTTTTTATCCTTTGTTTATTATGTAAATGCTTCAAAACCAGGGATTCACATCACTTCCCATCTATAAACACATCAACCAGCCTCTTGTAATTTAAGTCTACAGCCTACATCAAAAACCCTGCAGAAACATTTTTCTCTTTTTTCTGGACTCACCGATTTCACCTCAAACAGAACGGGTATTGACTGGGAAGAGCCTAATTAGCAGATCTCTGTCTGCTAATTAGGCTTTTCCTAATTATCAATAGTCCAAGGAACATTTTTCACTGGAGTAATTAGAATAAAGAAGTTGTTTTGTTGTTGTTGCTTTTTTGCTAACACAGCAAAAAAAAAAAAACATTTTTATGCCATTTTACAAAGAATACAAGTAAATTTCAGAAGGCTACAGATTGAATGCTGATCCAACGCCGTGCTTACTCTTGTAAATTGAGCCCTACATGTCGTCACTTCAAGCGGTTTCTCAGATGGAGCTTCACTCACGCCTCATCCCGTGTTTGTCGCCCGGCAGGTTCATCACTACTACAGCTCGCTGCCCGAGGACAAGGTGCCCTACGTGAACAGCCCAGGAGAGAAGTACCGCATCAAACAGCTGCTCCACCAGCTCCCGCCTCACGACAATGAGGTGAGAGTCCGGACCGACCCGCTCGCCCTCCCCCCACCTCCGTCCATCCATCTACGTCTCCCTCCCCCGCCTCTCCCCGCGTTGGGCCATTACGGAGATAAGAGGGGAGACAGGCAGGAGGAATCAGGGGAGGGAGTCTGTCTCGTTAATGGACGTGAAAGAGACGGAGTGATGTTTGCAGCCACTTATTGAGATTTGTTACATTAATAAATCATAACCACGAGCCGTCCTGAGAGGCAGCTCCGTAGGAGATCAGCACGCGCCACCTTAATTGCTTTGCTTTTTTGCTTTCTCTCCACACGTTTTTGCGCCACCGGCTCACTTCAAAGTGGCTGATAATCTGACTGACAAAATAAGCAAACCTGCTCAAAATGCTTACAAGTCTGCAATGGTTGCTCCCGTTTCAGAGCTCCCAAAGTGACTATTTTTGTTAAATCAAGCACTGAACAAAACATGATGGTTAAGCTTTTTGATGCTCAGTGTCTGGTTGGACTAACACTAACCCCCTCCATTACCAAAATCAACTTTACCTCCAGTATTGGGTTGAGGTTGTAAAGAAAGTGCATTCATTAGTATGAAGTGTAATTTTATAGACTTGATTTTGGTTTTTTTGAAGTGATGCTTTGTAAAAGTTGTCAGTCAAATATTTATCCCAAATGCACAGCAAAAAGAACATTTGTTGAAAATGAGAATTTAATGACATGCTAAATTGGATGGAACCATGCAGATGGGTAAATGGGACGATCAGGTTGCTAATGATTAAAAATCCAGCTTTAATACAGAGACAGAAGTGGAAAATCCCAATGAAATCAGAGAAATTAATTAAGAGGCAAACAGGGAACAGCTGAGGCTGAAAACAGGCAAAGGGAAATTGGGTGATGAGGAACAGCTGACAAACACAGCAGCAAAACTTCAGATGCTTCAACTGATACTTTGATTTCATGATCTGCACATGTTCTTTATGCCTCACAATAGGTTCAATAGAGAGGAAGTAATAAACCTGCATTCAGGTCTGCAACTCTCAATTAATACATTCAGATTGTTTTGGAAGATGGACAGAGTCTTTTACCAACAATTTAACTGTTATAACTACGAGTTTAGCGCAACGTTATTCTTCTCTGGTCAACCTTGACCTCCACAGAGCGGCAACCCAAGTCAGTAGGCCGATGATACGATGCATCTTGTTTTTGTGCAGGTACGCTACTGCAACAGCCTGGATGACGAGGAGAAGCGCGAGCTCAAGCTCTTCAGCAACCAACGGAAACGAGAGAACCTGGGCCGCGGCAACGTGCGCCCGTTCCCCGTCACGATGATGGGGGTCATCTGTGAGCAGGTGCCTGATTTTTTTTCTCTTTTTCTTTTTCTTTTTCAAAACCCTCAACGGCATAACTCTTGACCGTGAGGCCTGTTTTCGCTTCTGAGTGGCGTGACGGGATGGGATCGAGCGTGACGCGGCCCAAAATGTGTCCCGTGGAATGAAAGCCGTGTATCGTGCCGCCGACGCATGGAACGGTCTGCTGGCGTGATGTATAGGACAGCTGCTTTGCGTTGACACGTGAAGGCCAGAGACGCAACATTTGTCTGGCTTTCCCAACGACGCCCTGACCTTTCTCGTCTCGCCTCTGAGTCTTCCTTCATAAAGAAGTGTGTCCAAGTTTTTCTCTCTGCCATCCTGGCCTTCCAACCCTGTTCTAGTGATTTAAAATCTGAGCGTGACGTATCGTCTTTGAGAGCGAGGCCGACATTCAAACATCCGAGTTATTTCTCAGGAGTACCCAGTGTGCTGTGAAATGGTCAATATATTGCTTAAACGTTCTCCTTTAGCATCCTTATGGGACTAGTGAGTGTAATGGAGCGTTCCTTTAACAACAAAGCTGCACAGTTTAGCATCGACTGTGTGGAGAGCAGGTTGAACTGAAGTGCATGTGTGGGTCTTGTCCATTTAGCACAAATCAAACCACATCTCCAGTAAAAGAATTGGTGGAACGTCCGTCACAATTTCTTGGTTTTAGTCTTAATCCCTCTTTTGGCCTCCCAACAGCAGCACTTTGTGTTCACTAGAACTTACAGTGCTGTGGAAAATGATTTTTCCCCTTTCCAGATTTTTTATGGGTGGCTTGAGCCACCGAGGATCCAGAACAGCAAAGTAACTTTGGACTTTAACTGATCCGTTGCAACACTTTTCCTTTTCAGCCATTCTGCATTATATTGGCTTTTTGGTTTTCTGGAAGTTTGTCCCAAATTGGAGGAGCTTAAAAACTGAATGCTGCCTCTCCTCGTTTGGCTCCGATATCCACTACTTCCTTCAGCACTGCTGCAACATTCTGTTTAGAAAGAAGACGTCTTGCTCTGGAATCCTCACAAGCAGACAAGCCGTGTGAGTTCTCTCAAGTTGTAACTTCTCTGGCACGAACTTTTAACTTTACCATGCACAGTGAGGGCATGTAGTCCTAGATGTAGATAATGAATTTTATACGACCTTTGAAAATTGCGCATCTCTAAATAAATAAATAGATTTGCTGGGACGTTCTGGTTGCGGATTTAAGCGAATTTCACGTGAGGATAATTTTTCTCTCTGCAGAATAATTAACTCCACAGTGACATGGGGTCAACACAGACCATCATTCAAAACTTGTGCTTTTGCTGAACTGATGGTCACACTCGTTGAAGACGGCCACTTTCCTCCTTTAATCCTACAGAAACCAGTTCCTCCGGGATGTTGTGATGTTTTTTTTGTCTGTGATTTGTAAAATTACAAATTTTTGCAGCATCTTTTTTGAAGTTAACATGAACTGGATAACAGTATAAACATATCCTACATAACATCTCGAGATGGTTTTCGCACCAAAACAAAAGGCAGAATTTGGCTTTTGAGACATGTTGCGAAACAGGAAGTAAAATTAAATTAGAAGGGCCGATTGGTCAAAGTGACAGGGATTCGTCAGATTTGCAGAAAATTTTTGATGACAGGCGACAACAACATTTTTGAACGATGGGTGAATTTGCAATAATAGTTGCAGTCGCCAACAGCTCAACACCCAAGGTGAACGTACTTGGTCATAACATTGTAATCGTAGTTACTCAGGGTTTTACTCGATGGAATAAAGTTTCAACAATCGTTTGTTCTTCGCAGTGTGGAGGCCAGATAAACGGCGGCGACATCGCTGTGTTCGCATCTCGAGCCGGCCACGGTGTGTGTTGGCACCCCGCCTGCTTCGTGTGCAGCACGTGCAAGGAGCTCCTGGTGGACCTCATCTACTTCTACCAGGACGGGAAGATCTACTGCGGCCGGCACCACGCCGAGAGACTGAAGCCTCGCTGCACGGCCTGCGACGAGGTAAATGCATGTAGGCGCAACCTGGCTGCAGACAGATGACCGTTTATGTGTAAAAGTATTAAACAAGTAAAAGTTCACAGGTCGAAAGTTTACTCAAATTAAAGTCCTCCTTTGAACAATACTTTGGTATTAAAAGTAAAAAAAATAAAAAAATTCCAGTACATTGCTGTGTTGTTTTCTGAGTGTTTTCACAGAACCTTGTAACTTGCTGGAACCGCCTGATTGATATTGGTGACGAATGTAAAACCGCTCTGCTACAAAAAGTCAACACCACCTGTAAAAACCTCAGCATAAAAATGCAACAAAAAAATGACAGCTATTATCGTTATTTCTTATTATCTGAAACGTCCCCGACACCGCAAGAGGAAAGGAAAAGCAGGAGAGTAACACTGGTAGCTTCACATAAAGCCTTAGAAACATGGAGCTGACATGTTTCCATGGGTTGCTGGGTTTTGTTGAGAACAGCGGACGACTGATCTATTCTGAACCAAAAGGAACAAGTAACCTTCCTAGAAAAGAAGTGAATGTCCGCCACTGCCGTCTACAAATAGCTACAGATGTAACCGTGTCTGAAAGCCTATTTATAGAGCATCTGCTGTCTGTTGCCAACAGGCTTTCCTGTTTAATGGGCTCATCTTACAGGAGCCTGATCTCCTGAACATTAACGGTAAATTACTTACTGTACAAATGGGAACAGGGACACTGCAGCACTTAAGAGGCACCCCGATGATTTTAACAACAGTTCAACTAAAAGCAAATGCACCACCCAGCCTGCACCAAGTCCCCGCTCAAATTAGCCTCCTACTCAACCCAGACACAAAGAGGGACGATGTCAGAGTTTGAGGCGGCAGCGGTGAAGAGAAGGCGAGAGAGAGGCGAGCGAAGTCTCTGTGTTGTTGTTCAGCACCGAGTAATAACCCGGACTGCAGTCAACCATTATCTCTCCTTTCCTCAGATCATCTTTGCGGATGAGTGCACCGAGGCGGAGGGCCGCCACTGGCACATGAAGCACTTCTGCTGCTTCGAGTGCGAGACGGTGCTGGGCGGCCAGCGGTACATCATGAAGGAGGGCCGGCCCTACTGCTGCTCCTGCTTCGAGTCTCTCTACGCCGAGTACTGCGACTCGTGTGGGGAGCACATCGGTATGCTGCTTCTGCACAGGTTTTCAACACTTCTTAATGGAACGGCGGGCATTTGGGGCCAATTGTGTCGCCGCGGTTAAGTTCCAGGGTCTGGGTGGAGGAGGGATGAGAAGCTGGTCAAAAAGAAACTTTAAGAAGCCATTCAAACAGCCTGAATGTTAGTGAAGAAATGATGGTTTGAAGCCCAAGGAACACAGTCACTTGATGTGATTGTCATCAGGTATCACAGGAGTGAGTAAAGCCCATCTTTTTCAGGTGGTTTATTTTAATTATTTAGCAGGCAGGATGCTGTAAATGTATTTAACTAAAGAAGTACTGAACCACCAGAGGCCGCTTCACAACCAGATGGCAGTCATTAGCAAATAGCTGTTTTTCTTTCCCCCCATCGACTGAAAATATTCTGACAAAGCTGCGTGTTTATGCTGCCCTGGGAAAGCTGTGTAATGAGTTTGCCACACAGCACTTAGCTTTCCACCTCCAGCTCCATTTTCCCAGTCAGCAAACTACTTAAAAATGGGCTGCTTTTCATACCAGTACACATATTTCAATATTCCATTGAACAGTCGTTAAAGGGGGCGGGTTAGCACATTTGAATGCGTGTGATCTCGCATACACACAAATCTTTGTTTTCTTTTTATTTACCATTCAGGAATTGATCAAGGTCAGATGACGTACGACGGGCAGCACTGGCACGCCACCGAGGGCTGTTTCTGCTGCGCCCGCTGCAAACGCTCCCTCCTCGGTCGGCCTTTCCTGCCCAAACAGGGGCAGATCTTCTGCTCGCGCTCCTGCAGTCTGGGGGAAGAACCCAACGGCTCGGATTCCTCCGACTCGGCCTTCCAAAGCGCTCGCTCCACCAGGGAGTCCAGGCGCAGCACCAAGACGTCAAAGAGCGGCGGGGGCGCGCCACCGGAGAGGCACTCTGGCGAGGTGGACCCTCTGTCTTTACAAATGGACCTGCTCAGTCTCTCCAGCCAGACGCCCAGTTTGACTCGCGAGCCGCCTTCCTGGCAGAACCAGGAGCAAGTCTGCGACGGCTACGAGCCGCAACCCGACCCGACAGCCGACCCCACCCCGCTCCAGATCCTCAGCCAGTGCAACGTAAGGAGTTCCTGCAGCAACGCTTCCCCCGGACAGAGTAACCAGCAGCACGATCACAGGATCGTTGAGAACGGTGGTCTGAAGCGGCCCCCCATCTCCGCCATGAAGGGCCAGTCTTTCAACGAGAGCTGGCTCCAGCCGGCAGCTCCAGAGGAGTACTACCCACCCAAACTGAGGACCCAGAAGAGCTTCGCCGAACTGCAACACAACGGATTTTCCTCGGACAAGCGTTCGATCAGTTTGCACGGATTTCAGAGGGACAGAGACGGAGGGGCTCAGACAACTGCTCAGGTGGCGAGGAGCAGGAATCCCATTAATGCACTTAGCTTCACAGAACAGCTGACCCCACTGGAGCAGACCCCCAGAGGTTCCATGGAGTCCCTGGCTTTGTCCAATGCTACAGGTGGGTGTGGTTTATTCCCTATTCCATTACATTTAAATGTTTCAGATTGAACTAAAGGCAGTATTATGTAAAATCAACCTTTTTTTCCCCTTAAATCATGTTATAATGTTTCCCCCTCATCAAACACATGCCTGGAGTGTTGCTTTGTTTCTTTAACGCATGTTTGAGAAATCCTTTAATCTCCCATGGCAACCATTCAGCCGTGCAAAACGCCTGGGTGGGACGAAGCTCCGCCTTCGAGGCGCTGCTCCGTCTCGAGCTTCCTCCTCACAGAACTCTCTTCTCGATTCAAAGAAATGCAAGAACAAATCAGAAACAAAGATATTGACAGTATTGTTCTTGAATGGAACCATTAACCAGAAATGGAGGAAACAATCAACCGGGGCAAGCCTGTCCCGAAGTGGCAATTTAACCAAAATTACTTTTGGCAACTCATCCAGGAATGAACAACTAAACCCAGAATAACATTTAAAGTTTTACAGGACTTACTCACCTCAATTAAGGTCAATGTTCCCGTGTCAATAATAGGAAATTGCCTGGGGAAAAAATTACATCAGGGATTGAATGCTGAGATGCTGAGCAAAAGGAAAACGAGGGCACATCTTACTTAAAAAAACAAAACAAAAGTAAAAACACAGGGAATATTTTCTGTGCTCTACCATCTGGACCTGAACCGTCACATCATTTCAGTTCATTGGCATCATACAGTCAAACATGGTGGTGGCGGTGTGATGGTCAGGGGCTGGTTCGCTGCTTTAAGCCCTGGCCAGTTGGCCATAATTGATGGAACCACGAATGCTGCTTTCACTATCAAATCTTAAAGGAGAATGTCTGGCACAAATATCTGGACAGTTTTCCAAACCCTGCCAAGAAGTCCATTTCTCATTTGCTCAAAAAAAAAGGAAAAAAGAAGAAGATAGGAGTTTAGGGGCAGTCTTGGTTTAAATCCACCTGAGAGACTGTGGTATAACCCAGACAGGTCGCTGATGGACAAAAGCCCCAAAGTGTGGCTAAATAATAAAATTCTTCAAAGAAAAGTGGGTCAAAATTCATCCACTGCAATGCAAATAAACTCACCGTCACTTGTCACAAATGCTTCATGGCGGCTGTTGCCACAATGGGTTGTGGCTACAACCAGTAAGCATCAGGGTTCAATTATTCTTTACATCATCATTTAATATTTATTCAATATTAAAATTTGTTCATTGACAAAAAGACTAAATCTGAAAGGACAGATTGTTTCCACTTCTCAGTATTTTGAGACTTGATTTACATAATCTGATCACTCTTTATTCTTCTCTGCTCCCTCCCAGGTAACTCGGCTGATGGCGGGGGAAAGACTCAGGATCACCTGTCTCGTTTCTCCATGCCCGACCTAAGCAAAGACTCGGGAATGAATGTGTCAGAGAAAAGCAACATGGACACCCTGAACTCGTCCACGCAGTTCCGTAGCTCCGAGTCTATTCACAGCCTCAACGCCAGCCAGCCCTACCTGGAAATGAACCCAGCCAGGTCTTCCCAGTACCAGATGCAGTATTGCGACCCCTCAGGAATGAGAGTCAGTGCTGCCATGACTCATTTACCTCCTGCCTTCGCCTACCAGGAGGAGGACAGGATGGTCAGCAGCGCCAATGCCGCACGCCTGCCGCCCATCAGCGAATGCAGAGTGAGCGGCGTCGGCGTACGGGGGGCAAGCGTCCGGACAGACGCCGCAGAAGACACCCCTCAGAAGCGTCGGCATCACCATCACCGCCAAAGACGATCCCGCCGCTCTCGGTCTGAAAACGCTCTAAACTTGGTGGCCGACCGCAGGGTAAGACCCCAAGACAGGCCCCAGCTGAGCGTGCGAGAAGATTATGATCGCTTCCCACCGCCCAGGAGCGCCGCGAGCCAGTTTGGCGCCGGAGGACGGGGACGATACCAGCCCCAACTCTTCAGGCAGTGTCCCCGGACCACTTCAGACCTTTGTCTGCAGAACCCCGCAGAAAACAGGCGCACTGGATTGAGCCAGTACTCCTGGGACGAGTATTACGACGATGGCTGGTGCTCCACTTGCTCCTCGTCCTCTGAGTCTGAGGACGAGGGCTACTTCCTGGGCGAGCCCATCCCCAGGCCCATTCAGCTGCGCTACATCAACAACCAGGAGATGGTTCACAAGTACAACAACGCAGGAATTGGAGGGCAGCTGCACACGCGCAAACGCAGGAAAAGCAAGAACTGCATTATTTCTTAACATCCGGATCTTTCCTACTGGACACCTCTTTTTGTTTAGCTTGAGTACACTAACACCCTCTATTAGGAACAAAGAAAAGTTGCGTGTTTGAGTGCGAGTTATCAAGTAGTTGAAAGTCGGCAATGAATCAAAGCTGGCAAATCATGAAACGGCACTAACGTTTTGCATGGTTCATCATTTTAGTATTTCATATTTCCATGTGCAGTTTTATACGCGTTTATCAAAAGCTGATGTGCAATTTCTCTTAAACATTGTTTTCTTTCTTTGCTACAAAGAGGAACATAATAAAGTCGGTTTGGTACAGTTTTATGTTTTCAGTCAGTGTGACCTAGATGTAGGATGGATCTTATGTTCTGCTAAAGTTCATAACCTGTACATAGATAAATGGAGTATTAATTTCACCTAAATTAAAAAATAAAAAGGCACTGTAAATATGATTGTAAATGTGGGCCCATATTTTTATATTTTGTAAAGATGGACTGAGGTAAATATCTGTAATGTAGCGCTAGAACGTAACAAAAACAACTCATCCATCGTGCTGTCTGGCTGACTTGGTGCTGCATTTGGAATAAAGGAGTATTTCAACACGTTGGCGATCGAGTGTGCAAAATAACTCCACTCTCAATCGGTGACACTGACGTCGTGGCGCAGGGGCTGATTGGAGTCATCCTCCACTGGTTCGTTAGCTGGTGACGGGTGCAGTCACAGTCCGACACACTCTGTCCATTGTCCTGCTAAGAAACAGGAGATTATTGCATCAGCCTCAGTGAGACGAAAAAATGTTAAATAAAGGTCTCAGTTATTAAAACCAGGTGATGTTTTTTTTGGAGGGAGAGGGGGACATTCCTTTCCCCTGTATTGGTTTATTGGTTTGTTTTGTTCAGTGACCTGCTAATGTAATATTCATATCTGTCTGCGCTCTATTTCTAGACCTGGGATTTGAAAGTGCAGTCATCCCAGGCTGATGTCTTGCAACATTTAGATGTGTGTCTTTGGAGACACTTCAATCACATTATACTGTTAGCACATTCTTTAGAACTTGACTTCATGCTGACACTCGACACTCCGGTGCGATGGATCAGGGAGACGTCTGAAAGTTGAATTATTTTGTGCCCCGTACCAGATTTAGTGGTTTAAAAATGGGATTTTAGCTAACAAAGAGTCCTAATCTCAAAATTAGCTAAAATCAGTGACATGCATATGTAATAAAATAACACGGGGCATTTTACCAGTATTAAGTCCCTCATGAATGATGATCAGATTGCTGCATTATATGTTTTTTGTTTTTTTTGGGGTGGTGCAGGGGTTTGGACATATTTTGTCCTGACAGAAGTTTTCCCAGGTCAGGCATACTGTTCAGGTTTTAATTGTATATTTGACTCTACATGTACAGTCTTCAATAAACTCTTGTTTGGTTTCTGCAGAAGACCTTTTCATGCAATGCCTGTGCTAATGCTAGTGCTAATGTTTCCCCGCTTTCATATGACTTGTTGGTGATGAATTTGTGTGGGACATTTTCACTGCAGACGACATGAATACAAAAGGTTTTGCTTTATAAACGTCGTACAATTTTACGGCGAATGTCTGGCTACCCTAGATGCACACGATCATTGTGATTGAAAAACTAACATTTTTAGGAAAAAAAAACAGATTTATTGCATTGGCAAGCTAATGTTCATGGCCTGTAGGTCCATTCTGCAACCTTTTAAACACACGAGTATTTTTTTTTCAAAATGGCTGAATTAATTGGAAGGGTAAAGCTCACTGGATACATCTGACAGAAAGTCTGACTGTCGACAAACCGATATTGAGAATTGACTTCAGTCTGGGACATTCCTGGTCACGGCAGAAATGTTAATGTTGTCTCTGTCTTCCATAACCTTTCCAGTGTCTCTTCATATAGTCTAATCTACTTTTCTTCCAGACTTTAACCTTTTCCTGTTCAAGATTCTATCTCAGTCAGTGTCATAAATCATTCTTTAGATACGTCAAGCGAATTGCCTCGAGGACAGAAAGCGATGCTGTGAAAAGACACTTAATGAAATCGTTTAATAGCATTTCCTGTGATTGGTTTATTGTTCATGAATTGGAACGTGTGAAAACAGAAACCGAAATTAAAAACTCATACGAACAGAACACGACTCCCCAAAAATGTCAAATCATTTTATGTGAGCTCCACTTTATGAGCCTTTTCAATCTTTCTGATTTTTGACCTGGGTGGTTATTCACACAGCAGCTGATAACTATTTACACAGAAAAAAAGAGGTAGTAGGTGGCGCGCCACTGATGACCTTCCTGTGTGAAACGCACACTGTGAACAGAACACGCAAACCATTTCCAGACAGCAATTACCTACTAGGAAAGCAGAGCAGTGTAAATACTCCAAAAGTATCATTCAGTCCAATTGCTGATATTTTTTCTATTTTACACCAATTAACTTTCATGTCGGACGATTGCTCCGACTGGAACGCTTTACACTTTATGTTCCCGGTGCATGTTTCACACGGGAATATAATGACCACCCAATGCAAAAGGTGACAAAGGTTTAAAGGTTCATAAAAGCCTTCACACAAAACTCCTGAGATGTTTTTGAACCCTCCCCGTCGTTAGTTTCATCCTCCTGGTTGGAGTTGAAGCTTTTGTAGAGTTCAATATCAGAACTGATTCAGCTGAAGTCACAAATATGTTTCCTGTGTGCTGGGCTACAAAATTATATTTTCCATGTGGTTCTTGAAGTCCAAGGTGTTGCTCTGTGTTGGAGATAAAATAAATGAATGAAAATCCACGTTTTTATTCATTCCTTTTCTGAAGCTGCCGTGTCCGATTCAGGTTACCCAGTGGGGTTGGAAGTGATCCCAGGCACCCGGATGGCTGGATTGCCAGTCCGCCTGTGTCTGAGGGTTAACCGTTGGCATAAATTAGCTAACAGGTTGTTTTGCAAAGTGTTAAGCAGTGTCATACTGTAAATCGGATTGCTTCTGATGTCCATGTGGTGAAGGGATTACTCTTGCTGGCTCCCATAATCCACACGAACCCACCTACTGTATATGCAGCAAGGTGTATGAATGCCGTCCTGCTGATTTAACGTCACAGACCCATTCACACCGTTGGGGAATAATTGGGCACATAAGAGTGTTTACCTTACCTCAAGTCCGTTTCAGTTTTCTAGTCAACTCAGAAACAGTTGGATAGCTCCTGGATGTGGAGGGAAAACAAGCAAGACACAAAAATATTTAGAAGTTTCAAACATGTGAACCCCATTATTACGTTGGGCTGCTGATAGCCTGGCCTATAAATCCAGACGATTCCCAGTTTATAATCAGTCCTTAAAACTGGGAGTGCAGAGAGGACAAAGTTGTCTTTTAAACACTTACTTCCTTTTACATCATCATCACTAACCCTCATTAGTTTCTTTATTAGTGCCTCACCAAAGTGTGTGTTTGTGTGGAGTGTCTCCATGTGTTTAATTAAAAGCAATGGAGGCGGCACAGCGAGGGCGGTGGGGGCACAGATTGCTGCCATATGTTTCTCAGACCGTGCCACATCCAAGGCGGGCGGATAATCCGAGAGGTGCGTCAAGGATGCTTTCGGTTGCCACGGTCAGGACAGGCGATGATGTGCGGCCATAATGGCGCCGGTTCTCTCTGCAGGATGTCAGGTCACGCTTTCAGAATTACAGCCAGGATGAGGACGGTTTGTTGATCTCTGAGACTGAACCAGTCAGAGAGAGTGAAGGCTAAACATTTGTACTTGCTTCTAATATTTTATTTTAAGAACACAGTCTTGATGTGTTCCTTATATTACAGAGGAAAGTAATGAATCCCTTCTTCACTTCCTTTCCCAACGCTTTTCAGAATAAGAGTTTCTCGTTTTACGTCACTTTGGGTTGCCACAAATATTTTCAGTTGTTTAAACTTTGTTCAAATTTAGAGGTTTATTTTTAACGTTCTGAATGTGGGAGCATTGCATTTATTACTCTATGGATCAGCCATCTTGGTTTTCGTTCCAAAAGCTTCTCATCTTCCATCAAACGAGTAACTGAGTCTGGATTGTGGGCCAGCTGACTCTCGCACACCTTTTCTGCTCTGCCATGTCTACGGTACTGAGAACAGAACTTTGGGAAGGGCAACTCAGGACCATGACTCGGTTGTTCTCGAGCCACTTTGAAACCGATTTGGCTGCATTACTAGGATCGTTGTCTATTCGAAGGATCCACTTCTCCGCAAGCTTTGCCAGTTTGGCTGATGTATTAGGACGTTGATTCAACATGAATACGTTGAGCGAAATGCTGCAAAAATAACTCCACAACATTTTCATTTGACTTTCATTAGACGACTGGGTGTTTCTCCAAAAATGAAAGTATTTTTCTCTAAGAGTATTTGCAAGTTGCAAGTTAAAATAGCTGGTTTTAGGTCTATTTGTATAACAGATGAATGCCAAATCGTCACAGATGCACACATAAGCAACTTGTCTTTCGACAGCAGCAGCAACTCGCTGACTGGCCTCGCTGAACGAGGGAGGCATGTGACCAGGCGGCATGAGGCCTGGCTGCACTGTCTCCACCCACAGGACCATCATGTGTGTTCAATTACTGTGGCAAGAATGCGCAAACATCAAGCAAGAAATCACTTTTTACAAGGACACATGTTGCAGTTTCTTAATGTTTGCAACTTCAGAGAGATATTTACCCTCCCTGACCTCCCTTCTTCAATGGCGGCAGTAATCCCCCATATTCTGACACCGTATCTTACCATGTCAGGTATAATCGCTCTAAGTCTGTGTAAAAAAAAAAAAGGGTCAGGGGGGCAGAGTCGGATCATCCTCTGCTCACAGACACCGCTCTGTTTCAACTCGGCTGTCCTCTGTGGGACGTGGCGCATTAATGTCCTGTGACAGCAGCCCTGCTGTCCATCTGTCTGTCTTCTCCTACTTGTTTTTTTCTTCCTCCCAAGTCGCTCTAAACTTCCCCAAGCAAATACTGAAAAGGACATGGGATTTTCAAATCGCACTAATATCAGTTATGACATGTAGAGGCCTTAATTGGCTGCTCTCCTCCATGAGGGGCTCCAATTCAACATGCATGTTAGAAACAGTTATCCATTTGCCACCTTCACTCAGTCTGACAGGTGGCTTGGAGGGAACGTTGCCAGGTTGGGGCTGAGCCGCCGATCGAGCGGCACCAAAAGGGGCGCTTCGCCACGAAGGAGCACTGCATGCTGGGGCATCTTGGAGCCGCGCTGCCAGAAGGATCCATCTGGTTCAAGATGTCAGCCCCCACCGCTTCTCCTAGCTCCTTTGAGCTTATGGGAGTCAGCTCTGGTCTTGAGGGGTGGCTCCATCTGTGTGGCACCTGTAGGCAATCACAACAGCTAATGAAGCTTAATGCAATTCAGCATTGGGTGGAGAGATTCCATGAAGCACGTTAATTAGGCTTAAGTTGTGCCTTTCTTTGTTTCTGGCCGCTTTTCTCCTGCTTCGCGCTCTCTTTAGCAGATGATGATGGATGAACTGTTTAGTCCTCCAGCTAATCATCATTATGTCAGAGACACTTTGAGGCAACGTGTCTGAGAGTTTGACTTGAGTAGATGCCATCAAGACACTCGCACTGTGTAGCAAAATGAGACATATTCACAGCGCACTGCAAAATTGTGAATATTTCCTGAACTTTTTCACATTTTGTCACAGCATAATCTGAAATCTTTTGGCAGTTTTCAGGCAATCTTTGCATGTAAAACTCATGAGTGTTGCTTGCATTTGTATTCAGCTACTTCAGTTAGAAGTGTTAGGGTTTTTGGGGGGCGTATGCCTCTACTGGCTTTGCACATCGAGAGCCGGTTCTTCTGGGAACAGCAAGTTTCAGGTATTGGCAGATTATTGAGTGGATTTCCATTTAGATTTTGACTGAGTCTTTCAAGTCAAAAGACTCAGTCTTTAACTTTATACTCAGTTAAAGTTATACTATTCAATTTTAGAGTTGGCTGCATGTTTCATGTTGTTTTATTGTCCTGCTAGAAGAAAGAAAAGTGTTTCGCAGATGTTCTTCCAGGATTGACCCGTACTTTGCCGAAAGCTGTGAACTTCTTGCTCGGTTTGGATGCTGCCATCACTATGCTTAGCTGATACAATCACATATTGAGGAAGTTAGTTTGCAGGCCCCAAAGACCAAAGCATTCAAATTTTGTCCCATTTGGTGGCAAAATTTGACCAAAACTTGACCAAATGTTTGACTTGTGGGTAGATTCTGGTGGTTTTCTTTAACCAATGGCTTTCTTCTTGCCAGTCTTCCATGAAGTCCAGATTTGCGGAGTGGCGTCTATAGATTCTCCCAGCTGAGCTGTATGTGGATCTCTGCAGCTTCTCTAGAGTCACTATGAGAAGGTTATGTGGTGTTTTATGTTAATTATGACCACAATTCATGTGTACACGTTCAGAGCGACCCGCTCAATTCCCCTGACGTCCGCTCTTCATCCTCTTCCACTTAGATCATCTTCAGCAATCCAATCAGGAGTCATTTTTGAATGCCAGGTGTTATAAGTAATTTGAGTCATTTCATTATCACATTCACATGCTTACACAGAACAGCATATGGGTTTGCCTGTGTGTGTGTGCGTGCGTGCGTGCGTGCGTGCGTATGTGTGTGTGTGTGTAAGGCCATTTCTTGGACAAATCAGTCGACGCAGGTATTAGAAAGAAAATCTCCTCTATAGCTAAGTCTGTTTGCTACTCTTTGATGTAGAAAGTTGTCAGTGAAGCTCCATGCAGACAGGTGGAGAAATAATAGCTTTTGATGTACATTTATCAAAACTAAAACCTTGAATAAGGGAAGAATTTGAACTTACGTTTGCCTCCTGATCCCCGCCCCCTCTCCTCATAAGATGGCAAGAGAGTCAGATTTACTCTTTTCTTTGAACATCTTTATCATTAGCAATGGTTTCGATTTTTGTCAGAAAATGAGAAGTTTTGAGTTGCAGTCTTGGCCAAAGTCGGATGCACTGATGGATTGTAGCAGAAGAGTAACAGCGCCATCTACTTTTGAATGACTGTACTGCCCTTTTTTTTAAGCCTGCCAAGCAAAAATACTGGATGAAAGGTTGAAAACCAAACCACTGGCTCCTCTAACTAAGACTGGATCTATTTTAGGAGATCATACTTATTGTAACGACAGCTTCTCCAGGATGACAATTAACTAATTGTTTGGTAAAATAGGAGGAAACTCATATTTAGAGGCATTTAGCATGCAAGTTATTAACTGTGGAAAGCGCTTCAATTTTAAGATGTAGTACATAAACATGACTTGAGATCCTAACTTAATTGAAGGAAAAACATTCTTTCGTAATTTATTAAAACCAAAATCTGAAAAGTGTGGTGTGCGTTTGTGTTTACACCCAATTTACTCTGACAGCTTAAAATAAAATAGAGCAAGCAGAGTCCACCAAGTAATCTCGGTATGAATCCTGCTGTTTTGTAAATGTTCATTCAAGGATATTGGTAAATAAGCATGACGTCATGACTACCGGGTCGAGAATAAAGCTGTGAATTTTGTTCACGCCTGACATTAACTCCAAATTAAGTACGGTAAAATTTGCCGTTGATATTTGACAACGAACGAACTGTGAACTTCATACGTCTCCTGAGAAACTGTATTACGTGTTGCTGAGTGTTTCCCTCTCCGGATTGGTGCTGAGAGAGTGAGTGCAGAAAAATCTACAAATATGAAATTCCTCTGTGAAAGGTGCTAAAGTATGAGCAACACCGCTGAACTGGGCGCGGAGCTCTCAGAGTTTCCTCAAGATGCCGAAAAAGACAAAAACCGATAAGAAGAAACAATGTCCTGTACCACTGCAGTCAGACTTTCTGGGAGAGTTTCCATTAATTTCACTCCTGTTGGTTGTCTTATCAAAACACGACAGAGTCCAAAGGCAACAGTGGATGATTTATTACTGGGTAGGATGAGACAGTGGAGATCTGACAACTCGGTGAAAAACACATTGCAGACACAGATCATGCAGCCACCGCAGCACAGGCGACCTGCTGTGTGTGTGTGTGTGTGTGTGTGTGTGTGTGTGTGTGTGTGTGTGTGTGTGTGTGTGTGTGTGTGTGTGTGTGTGTGTGTGTGTGTGTGTGTGTGTGTGTGTGTGTGTGTGAGACAACTCAAGCTCAACTGAACCTGTACGGAGTTATGGGTACAGGAATTGAGTAGCGATCCATTGAAGATACAATGATTTGTAGAATAAAACTGACAAAGGATGAATATTTGTACTTAATTTCCAGATGTGCAAAACTGAGGTGTGGCACATCCTACATCCCTAAATGCCTTGTTTCAATCCGTCTTCAATCTGTCCGGGACAAATCTCGGCATTTAAAGCGTCTCTCGTGATGCCATGCCTCACAACTTGGTCTCCACTCTCTCGCTCTCCAGGAAGGATTTCCCACAAACCGTGATGGCTTTAAACTCCTCCGAAATGTCCACCAGAGTCTTCCCCTTGGTCTCAGGCAGAAGGAAGAAGGTGTAAAAGCTGCCCAGCAGGGACACGACAGCAAACAGTGTGAAGCAATAAGAGTCGAAAGCATCCTACGGAGAAAGAGTGGACAAGCAGAGCTGTGTTGGTTAGAGTCGTCGTCCAGTGTGCGGCATGCAGGCTGGTTGCTTCAGAGTCGGGGCGTGTGTGACTGTACGCACAATGATGAACGGGAAGATCAGGCCCACCACGGCGAACATGAACCAACGCTGCAGCCCCATGAGAACGAACGCTGCCAGACGATCGGACTGAGTGAAGAGCTCGGCACTGAGTGTGGCTGTGGCGGCGCCTGGAAGAGCAAAGAGTGATCTTTACAAGATTTCTGCTGCTTTGCAACGAAAAAACTTCAAATTATTTGACTTAATTATTTCAGTGATAGCTCAGCACAAACACGAACTAATTACAAAGAGAAAGAAAGGTTAAGCACAATTGTTCCTATATCTACATATATATTTTTTATTGATTTATTTTTTAAATAATTATGACCTGAAAAGTGCATGCATTCTGACTGATCTCCCCTTTTCTCCAGCGCCCCAAACTAAAACCCAATGAAACCAAAGTGACCCAATAATGGCCGAGATTTTCAGTCTCTAAATGTGCAAAGCTGGTAGAAATGCATCCCAAAACAAATTAACCTTTTCATGCATGAGTTATGATCTGAATTTTTGAAGATTCTATAAAGTTCAGATTCATGGGGACTTAATAAAATCATACGCTATCCTATGCAAAAAAAAAAAAAAACATGCCTCGTTTTAATTTCAGTTCTAAATTGAGCACATCAAATCACATCCACAAAATCTGAAGTCTGATTTTGTGAATGTAATTTGGTCCTAACCTGACAAATGCAAAAAGCTGAAAGATTATGAATATTTTTTTGAAGGCTCTGCGCAACACGCGGCTTGTCCTCCAATAATGAACCAAAGGTTTAATGGTGCGGTCGCGACGTTCTCACCAGGTCCTCCGCAAAAGGAGACGATGAAGAGGAAGATGAGAGAAGAAGTAACGTAGGGAACCCAGCTGAGGTCCTGCAGTAGTGACACACATTATGATGCTTGACACAGTCACACCTACTGTCTGCACTGTTTGTGCATTTCATTTTTAATGCAATGCGTGTGCCGAATAGATTTAATGTGTCCAGTGTTTTCACCGACTGCTGGATCCTCTGGCAGCTCAAAGATAACATCAAATGGCCTCGTATTTATCATTTGGTAGATACGATTCACAACAATTGACTTAATCCTCTGTGCCTTGGTTGTGTAAGTTATATCCACATTTGAAGAGTAGAAAATGTGTGGTAAATATTGGGGGCTGGGGAGGTTTCTCACCAGTGAGCGGCTCAAGGAAAACAGAAATGTGTGATCTCTCTGTAATAATTTTACATTTTCCTTTTACCACATTCTTGTCATGTTTACCTTTAGGTTCAGTATCACTGTTGCCATAATCCAGATAGCAGATATGACGGCGTACCCCCCCCAGAATAACGGCCTCCTCCCTGTGTGCTCGATCAGAAGGCTCTGTTGGAAACAAAGGAGAAAAGAAATGGAGGCAGCTTTCAAGACAGAAAGGAAGCAAGAGAAAACAAGGAAAGAGCTGAGAAAGGAAGATGGAATGAGAGGAGGGAGGAAGGAAAGACTCGAGACAAAATGAGGGGAACGAAGAGGAAAGGTAGGAAGGAAAGAATGACACACAGCCACTCATCCCTGAGCTGCCTGCATTTTGCTCAATATGAAGCACCAAAGGGGAACAGAGTCAGGTGAGAGAGGGGAGACGGCGGCGGGATTTGCTCACACAGGAGATGGAGGTGAGGATTTCAGATATTCCGAGACCGAGGGTGACGTAGCGGATCTTGTCTTTAGGAACTCCAGAGTTCAGGAAGATGTCAAAGGAGAAGGTGCTGATCTGGGAAGGAGAACGCCACGATAAATTGTTAGGACCGGTCCATGCAGTGTGTCTTTAATTGTTTTTCTCTTCGTTTCTTGCTACAATCACGACAATAAAAGTGCCGTGACTTTAAGCAACAATTAGAAACGAAGCAGTGGATTTAAGTCTGGACTTTGACCGGGCCTGTTTTGTGTTCTGTGGCCTCATTTCGTCCCAGCCAACCGAGACAGAGACGTGTGTATTTCTAATTGTCTCACTGCTGACATGCCCGACATCTGATTGCAGCAGTAAACGACGAGCATGGTGATGAGCTGCCATCGGACGCTCCGGTCCATCATCAGCCGCAGTGGACTCTTTGGCGGAGACGCTTCGAGAGCCATGTGCTCAGTCAGCATCTCCTCCATTTCCTGTTTGTAGTCGCCTTTCCCCCACAAACTCTGAAGGGCTGGAGCGACGACAAAATAAGACAATTTTAAAGCAAAAACAGGAGAGAAATTGTTCAGAGGTGGGAATGCATACCTCGCTTGCATGCCTTGTCGTCCCTTTTCTCTATGAATAAATACCTGGGAGCCTCTGGAAGGAAAGGCAGCACCAAAACCTGAACCGCTGAGAAACACACAGGGACACAGAGGACGATGTTCCACAGGTGCTGGCGGCCAAGGATCTCGCTGCCAAAAAAAACACACAAAATGATGTTCCCAGCTGAATCGTTGCTCTTGCTTTATGAAGAGGTGACGCAGACTGACGTACCTTAATCCAAAAAGCTGTCCGGAGAGTTTGCCGAGTGAAGTAAAAGTGGCTGAAGTCAGAGTCACCCTGCCTCTTATCTTCCTTGGTGAAATCTCCCCCAAATACATTGAATGGAGGCTTCCTCCTAAACCTGCAACACACAAGTCACCATATGCAACGTGCAGGGTTGCACCACTACAGAAGCTACGCACGATTCAGAATTATTCATAGTAAATATCAGGACTCTCACCCGCTGAGTATCCATACAGCGTCCGCGCCACGATTATCATTTCAAAGGATTTAGCCGTCTTGCTGGTCAGCATGATCACTGCCCCCGTAATGGAAATCAGGCTGTTGCAGATCATTGCTCGTTTTCTGGGCAAAGAGAGTCAAATTCATGTCTTCTTCGGCTGCACACATGACGACGGAGAGGTGCGACACTGTGGGTTTATTAAAAATGTTTGTTGACATGTCTCGAGTGTATCCTGCAGAACCAGGGTCATTTTCAGGGCACAGTGCTGTTCCTTTTACATGTTCCTTCACTTCTCGCAGTGTTCTCACACTTAAATGTTTCAGGTCATCAGACCTGAAACATTTAAGTGTGAGAACACTGCAAAGAAAGCACTTAAGTAGGATGTGTCTGACGCCACGAAGTAGGGGAACGGACCTCCAAAAGTAAAACATCACGCCACAAAAACTGATGAGAAACAAAGTAAGTGATTGACACCAATCTGGAAAGGATGAGGAAACCTTTCCTGTGCTTTTGGAGCAGCGACTTGGCGACGTTGGCAGGATTCCATGATTATGCAGCGCAGGGTAAAAGTGACAAAGTGATTGTCTGATACTTAATTGAAATAAGTGATCATTTGAGATTAGACACGCTTGCTTCCCAGACTTGATTTATCGTTTGCCTCTTTACCACTATGCAATCTCAAACAGGAGCTTACATACAGTTTTCCGATCCAAGTGGGAAACACGTCCCACATTCGCGGATACCTTTACCCATAAGCCACGTGCACACACCTTCCCAGTTTTCGTGAGAAGAGTTTGACACTGACGGCACCAAAAAGTCCCCCGACGGCGTACATGGAGACGATAAGAGACCAGATCATGGTGACCTTCTGAGTACCTGGAGACTCCTGGTACCTGTCATACCAGCTGCTGTTGATGAAGTGCTGAATGTACTGGAAAGACATCAACAATCCGTATTGTGACCAAACAAATAACACCAAAATGTGGGAAAACTCAGAAAATGGGCTTGTAGTTTTGTTTTTTTTTTCTGTCTTTTTTTTCTTACTGGTGAGGGAGAACTGAGTCCGGTTATGTGGTAACCAGTATGGAAACTTCCTCCACAGCCCAAAATTATGATTACAAGCAGAGCATTGCCTTGAGTCTGAAATGAAGGAGTGAAAACAGAATCATGATCGACACAACAGAGATATATATATATATATATATATATATATATATATATATATATATATATATATATTATATATATATATATATATATATATATATATATATGCTGACTGGATAGCTCAATACATAAGGCATCAGTATATCACCCGAGAGGGCAGGGTTCGAATCCAGTCTGGGTCCTTAGGCAAGACCCTTCAAGCTACTGCCTACCTCATACCATGAGAGATACTAAGTTGCATAACATGCCGGCTCAGACGTCGCCCGGCCAAACAAGGTCTGCGTCAGGTGTTGGGGAACCAGAGCACCTTGATGACAAATGGGCTACTGGAACAAGACGGAAATGGGCGAGAGATGAAAATGTGGATCTGTTGGAATGCTACTACTCAAGTAACCCTAGTCAGAGGGGTTACATGCAAAGACTGGGGAAGGAATGGTTACTTCGACATCCCCAGTCAACACTAAGCGCTAAAACAACTAGTAGCTCAGTGTTCCAACATCCGCAAACGGCAACTGCTATCACAACTTGAGATTGACGAGATACAACATAAATGCTACGGCAAAAGGGAGGAACCCGGATGTCAGGACTGTGGGGACTTAACTACAAGTCCCCACCCAGTGAGGGGATACACGGCCCCAATGAGCAAAACAGAGCTGAACGAGACAGCTGCTGACCTGAGAGAGAGAATCATGACCCGAATGACAACCAGGCCTCCCCGGCGCCAATTACAACGGCTGAGTGAAGTACCATCTGAAAGTCTCATTGAGAATGTGAATGCAGCATTGAGAACGATCCCTACCAACACCATAACAGAAACCAATGAGCTGATCTACAACTCAGCATCAGTGATCCTTGAGATACTTGGCTATAAGAGCAACCATGAGACCCAATACCCACCATGGAAAAGACGGTTAGAGGCTAAAATCAAGGTAACAAGGAGGGAAGTGAGCCAACTGTCAGAGCTCCACAAGGGTGCAATGAAAAGACCAGTACCCAGAAAGTACAGGCAGATGCCCATACCTGAAGCACTCGAGACTGCCAAACAGAGGCTCCAAGCCTTGTCCAGCCGCCTAAAGAGATACACAAGGGAGAATGAATCCAGAAGGATTAACCGGCTCTTCTCCACTCAACCAGCTAAGGTGTACTCTCAATGGCAGGGTAACAATAACAACAGAGCAGACCCACCAAGGCTGGAGACGGAACAATACTGGAAAGGCATATGGGAAAGGGAGGCGTCCCACAACAGCAATGCACAGTGGCTGATCTCTCTACGAGAGGACCACAGCAACCTCCCTGAGCAAGCCCCGGTAACCATCACTGTGACAGATGTCCAAGAAAGAGTCTCAGGTATGAAAAACTGGACAGCACCAGGGCCTGACATGATCCATGCCTACTGGCTAAAGAAACTCACTGCTCTCCATGAGCGAATGGCAGCCCAAATGAACCAGCTGCTACAAAGTGGGACTCACCCTGAATGGTTAACTGAAGGGCGGACAATCCTAATCCAGAAGGATCCATCAAAGGGTCCAGTCCCACCAACTACCGACCAATAACCTGCCTCTCCACAACCTGGAAGCTCATGTCAGGCATCATAGCGGCCAAGATAAGCAAACACATGGATAAACACATGAGCACGGCACAGAAGGGTATCGGTGTAAATAGCAGAGGAGCCAAACACCAACTCCTCGTAGACCGCACAGTTGCCCGAGACTGCAAAACCCGACACACCAACCTGTGCATGGCTTGGATTGATTACAAGAAAGCCTATGACTCAATGCCGCATACTTGGATCATTGAATGCTTAGAGATGTATAACATCAACAGGATTCTGAGAGCCTTCATTGCAAACTCGATGAGGCTGTGGAAAACCACCCTTGAAGCCAACTGCAAACCACTTGCACAAGTGTCCATCAAATGTGGCATATACCAAGGAGATGCTCTGTCCCCGCTACTGTTCTGCATAGGCCTGAACCCCCTCAGCCAAGTTATCAACAAGACTGGCTACGGATACAGACTCAAAAATGGGGCCAATATCAGTCACCTACTCTACATGGATGACATCAAGCTGTACGCCAAGTGTGAGCGAGACATCGACTCACTGATCCACACCACCAGGATCTACAGCACTGACATTGGGATGTCATTCGGACTAGAGAAGTGTGTGGTTCTGGTCACAAAGAGGGGGAAGGTCATCCACACAGAAGGGGTCTCACTCCCAGAAGGAACAATAGCAGACATAGAGGACAGTTACAAGTACCTAGGTATACCACAAGCAAATGGCAACCTCGATGAGGTCACAAGGAAAGGAGCCACAGCTAAATATCTCCAACGAATAAGGCAAGTCCTGAGAAGCCAGCTCAATGGCAAGAACAAAATCCGTGCGATAAACAGCTATGCCCTGCCAGTAATCAGATACCCTGCTGGAATAATTAGCTGGCCAAAGGAGGAGATAAAAGCCACAGATATTAAGACTAGAAAGCTACTAACCATGCATGGAGGGTTCCATCCCAAATCCAGCACCCTGAGACTGTACACGAGCCGCAAGGAAGGAGGCAGAGGACTAGTGAGTGTGAGAACCACTGTCCAGGACGAAACAACTAAGATCCATAAATACATCAGGGACAAAGCCTCAACAGACAATGTGCTCAGTGAATGTCTCAGACAACAGGGAACGGAGGTTGAGGTGCCAGAGATACCATCATGGGAGGACAAACCCCTACATGGGATGTACCACCAGCAAATAACCCAAGTGGCTGATATCAGTAAATCCTACCAATGGCTGGAAAAAGCTGGACTCAAGGACAGCACAGAGGCCCTCATCCTGGCAGCCCAGGAACAGGCCCTAAACACCAGAGCAATAGAGGCCCAGATCTACCACACCAGACAAGACCCAAGGTGTAGGTTGTGCAAGGAGGCCCCTGAGACAGTCCAGCACATCACAGCAGGGTGCAAGATACTGGCAGGGAAAGCGTACATGGAGCGACATAACCAAGTGGCAGGCATAGTGTACAGAAACATCTGTGCAGAATATGGACTGGAAACCCCAAGATCAAAGTGGGAAACACCCCCAAAGGTGGTGGAGAACGCCAGAGCTAAGATCCTGTGGGACTTCCAGATCCAGACAGACAAAATGGTAATGGCGAACCAACCAGACATTGTCGTAGTGGATAAACATCAGAGGAAAGCCGTTGTGGTAGATGTAGCAATACCAAGTGATTGCAACATCAGGAAAAAAGAGCACGAGAAACTAGAGAAATACCAGGGCCTCAGGGAGGAACTGGAGAGGGCCTGGAAGGTGAAGACCACAGTGGTGCCTGTGGTCATCGGGGCCCTCGGGGCAGTAACCCCAAACTGGAGCAGTGGCTACAACAGATCCCAGAACAACATCAGACATCTCAGTCCAGAAATATGCAGTCCTTGGCACAGCCAAGATACTGCGCAGAACCCTCAAGCTCCCAGGCCTCTGGTAGAGGACCCGAGCTCAGAGGATAAGAACCACCCGCGGTGGGTGAGAAGGGAATTTTTTTTTTTATATATATATATATATATATATATATATATATATATATATATAATTTTTTTTAAACATTTGTAATTCTGGTGTTTTTAATGTTATAATTAATAATAATGAACTCTAGTTAAGAACATTTTAAATAGATTTTGTGTGAATACTGAAAACAGAGACCTTTTTTTAAAAGTAAAATAGCCATGTAGTTGTGATTTCATTACTGTTTAGTTTGTTTATTAAATTTGTTCGACATAAAAAAATAAATGATAAATTAAAAAATTCAATCGATTTTTTTTTTTTAAAGTTGTTAATAAGCAAGAAGCAGAACTGTTGTTAAAAGAGAAAGCCAGAGGTGTTTCTCTGTGCTAAGGCCGTGATTGTACCAAAGTCTAATTTGAGCAACATCATATAACAAGCCCTTGGTCAGAAAAGACAATTACATTTGAATACCTAACTTTATTTTTTCTTAAAGCAACAAAACGTGTAAAAGCTTAAAATTGTAAAAGACATTAAACCAGAACGCCATTCTCAATGGTGTTAAAAACCAAAAGTAAATTCGAAGCAAACTTATCTGCAGATGGAGTTGGAGCGTTTTCTGACAACCATGAGAAATGTAGGATTAGCTTTAGGGTTAAACGTCATGTTGATGGAGTTTGAGTGAGAAACTGTGTGCTTATAATGACGTTTGACCTTCACATAACTGTAGTGCAGCTAAATTCTCGTGAGTGAAAGAGGGTCTGACTATGTGGAGAAAAGTGAGACGTGCATAATTGATGCATGGCTTCTTAATATAGATTATTCTGCTGAAACAGTTGCTGGGACCACAATGCTGCCAGAATTTTCTGAGGAGATTTTTGTCTGTCTTTTTTATTTTCCTTTCGTTTCATTATTCTGGACTTCATACACAGGTGTAAATATAACTTTGCCGAGCCACATGTCTGAATATGTAGAGATGAAAATGTAAAGGTAGAATTTTTTTTTATTTGATTATGAAATCAGTAGGAATTATGATTTTTTTAAAATACTCCTACTCTCAAAATAATTTGAAGTAGTGTTCATTTTAATTGATTTTTCCACCTTAAATATGTTTAAAAGGTTTGAATTAAAACAATAAAAAATAACTAAGCAAGACACAAGTCACAATGACTCAGCTAAAAATATGATCTAAATCATTTATTACATAAAACAACGAGTGGCTAAAAACAATATGTTTGCCAGTGAACCATAATACGTTAAGGTCGTCATGCAAATTTGCATAAGTATTTTTTTTTAACCCGAAATGCCGAATAACAGATTATGTATATTAAAAGTTATCATCAGTGAATCTGATATTGCCGCATATGTTTCTTTTCCACTGCTCTTTTCAGCGTTTACGTTTAAAAATCATCCTGGTATGTAAACAGATATGTTAGTAATATGTGGAGCTCCTACCAGTTGGTGGAAGAAAGTTTCCATTCTGTGTCGACGGCCTTGAACATCGCAGTCCGCAGATCCAGACTCCGCAGGCCGCTTTAAAACCCACAGGCTGGTTATCATTAACTCGTTTGGAGTAAAAATTAAGCACCAGAAACAGGCCGTCGGCCTGCTGATGGGAAGTGACGAGAGCTGTAGGAACCTGGCCTGGTGTGAAAAGAGAAACGGACAACTCCCGGACGGAAAACGACTCCGTATATGATTCAGATACGTAACTCTGCAAGTCATGAACCATTACGTACAGTTGAAACCACATATTTGCACTGTGCAAAAGGACGTTAAACCAGACTAAATCCCAGCCGACCCTGTTTTAGGTCGGCAAGGATCTATAGTCCGGTGCCAGAATAATGACTATGAGAGGTCTTCGTAATTTGACCAGAGTCCATGTCTTGTTTTAAAGACTCGCTTATGAGATGTTCCATCAACATTTGCGCATGGTTCCTCGTTAAGTCAGCTGTTTTGAGAAGTGCACAGAATGGCACCATCACCACACGATGCTGCCACCCTTATAGGGCACAGCAATCTTCTTGTATATAAACTTTTGATGTTGAAAAAAGTGATAAAAATATTTTCAAAACGTCTGTGGTAACTAATTCAAAGGAGGAAACTTCTATCTCATTTAATGTCAGTAAGGATAGTTGGTTTTTTGTGCAGTGTATCTCATTTCCACTGTGTTTACGAAGAGTTTTATTTCATAAAAGCACTGTTCATGTTGTGAACAATAAACACGAGATAATTGCTTTTTAAATCGTAAAAAACTACTTGGCTGCTTTTTTTTGTAAACATTGGAATCGCTGCTTGTGCGGTTAAACATGTGTTTTGCTTGACGTCCGCCAGGGGGCAGCAATCTAAAATTGTGTTTATTTATCTTGTGTCACTCCGCTCTTTCCTCATGTCGCTCCAGCGGAAGCAACGCTGTTCAGTGTTTCCCGTAGTCATCGTTGAGTAGCTGGGTAACAGCGAATAGTGGATCGCATCTCCACAATAAAAAAGGAGCCTTTTTATTTACTCGTTTGCCTATTTACCAAGAGACAAAAATGCCACTGGAGAACTTGGAGGAGGAGGGTCTGCCTAAGAACCCCGATTTGAGGATAGCTCAGCTGAAATTTCTGCTCACAATGGACGGACACCGACGAGACGAGAAAGTGAAAACCGAGCTAATGGATGCTATTAAAGCTAACAGTGAGTTAGCCTTTTTTATTTCTTCTCTTTTTTTGAACGCAGTGATTTTTAACTAACACAACCGAGCCACGTGTTGACAGCTGTTCATTAGACAGATACGCTTAGGGAATTGCTTTTACTGAGGTGTGGGTGAGGTTTGTAAAAACAATACGTCAAAGTAAATGCTTAGCGCGAGCATTAGCCTGTTAGCTAACACTGCTAGCGTCGGACAACAAAAAGTTTAAAACGGCTTTTTTTGTTACAAAACTAGTAAAACACAAACAAGACAGACTTTGTGCTCATTCGGTCGGTTTCAGTTCTTTGTCATTTTTGTGACGCGAGAAGACGAGAAGTGGGTTCCCGGGGATACCTCACATCCTTACACCAAATATTATGCGTATTCAAAGTCTCGCGTTGATTGAGATTTTTGGGGTTCTTGTGAATGTGCCGGATTTCTGTGTGTGTGTGCTTTAGACATGGCGCCGTACTATGAGGGTCTGTGCAAGGAGCTGAAGTGGCCGCTGGACTCGGAGCTGCTGAGCAAAATGAAAAAGGCCAACGAGGAGGAGCTGAAGCGCCTGGACGACGTGCTGGATGACGCGGAGAAGAACATGGGAGAGAGCGAGATCCGGGACGTCATGATGGCCAAGGCGGAATATTTAATCAGAATCGGGGATAAGGTGAGGGATGCTTCAGCGAGGACGGGTGATGTGTTGGAATGCATCTTAAAAATGAATAAATGATTGACGTGAAGCAAGTCAAACCCTCCGAATCTAGTCATTAAAAATGCATGCAAAAAGTTTTTTGATGTGCAAGTGTTATTTTCTGGCCTTTACAGGTAAAAATGTCATAAAACGTAATTTTTATGCGTTGTGCATAGGTATTTTATGACCTATATATTTATAAGAAAGACGGCTGACTTCACTGATTTCACTCAGGAGAGATAAAAATTTTAGTGGAGTAATTTCATAGGAACAAAGGCCACGAAATGTGCTTTAAACGTGGTAAAACAGACAGGTCCTAAAATAATGGATAAAAAACAAAAGCCAAAAATCAACCAATCATAAAGCATGAAAACAAACGGATGACTTTAAAGCAAAAGAACAACTCAAGACAGTGAAAACATTTACAACAAACTCTACAATAGCGTACAAAGAAAATATTAAAAGTACTGGCGCAAAATCTAGCACAATAGCAAGTTTGATACAGTAAAAACAATTATAGAAATCTGTGTAAACATCAATTTCTATTTGCTCTTCTTTAGTTTGCTTCTTCAACATAAAAGTCCTTGTTGGTTGAATGGCAATGCTCCTCTGCAGAGAACTATAATTTTCTAACAATTCGTCTTGAATCTTTTGCACAACATTTTGAGCGAGCGGCCAACTTGTGAAGTTAGAAATAAAGCAATAATGAAAATAAAGTTAACTTAAAACCAGAAAAAGACTGTAGAAAATTCACCTTCACAAGTCTGTTTATGGTTTGAATGTTTTCAAACCAAACCATGCTAATTTCTCTCGCGCGTCTCAAAGTCTTGTGACAGCTATTATTGTCACACGTTTAAGCATGTTTGCATCACTGAGAAATTCATTGAATTTATTCCCCTTTTTCCTGTGCGCCACCGCAGGAGGGCGCGCTGACGGCTTTCAGGAAGACCTACGACAAGACGGTGGCTCTGGGTCACAGGTTAGACATCGTCTTCTACCTGCTGAGGATCGGTCTCTTCTACATGGACAGTGACCTCATCACACGCAACTCGGAAAAAGCCAAGAGGTTCGTCCTGCCTCGTCCTCATCCGCCTGCCGGCGTCATCGCGGGGCGTAACGGTTGTGCTTCTTCTTCTCTGCGCAGCCTCATCGAGGAGGGCGGGGACTGGGACCGGAGGAACCGCCTGAAGGTCTACCAGGGTCTGTACTGCGTGGCCATCAGAGACTTCAAGCAGGCCGCCGAGCTTTTCCTCGACACCGTCTCCACCTTCACCTCGTACGAGCTCATGGACTACAAGACGTTTGTCACCTACACAGTTTACGTCTGCATGATCGCCCTGAAGAGGCCTGACCTCCGCGAAAAGGTAGGGAGAAGTGTTGAGCAAAGTGAGATCAAATAAAATGGTAATTAACGGGGAAGGACTAAAAACTAACTGGAACTAAATCATTCATTTGTGCAACTAATTAAAATGTACTGAAATTAGAGTTACAATACCTGTCAAACTTAATAAAAAAAATTTCAGCTGTGGGCAAATTATGGTAGTCTCCAAAAGTTGGGATAAATTCCAGAATCAGAATTATCAACAATAATTCTGTTGAGCATTCATTACCCTATCAATGTATACATAGCCAATACTTGGACCTTTTTAAATGATCTACCTAAAAACTAACCAGAACTACTACTATGACTAATAAAACCAAAACATATTCAACAAATAACTAATGAAAACAAGCAAGCACATTCTAAAAACGAATTAAAACTAACCTGATTAGACGAGTCACAATGAAAGTAAACTAAACTGTAATGTAAAATGTCAAACTAATCACCTGTCCTCCTCCTCAGGTGATAAAAGGAGCAGAGATCCTGGAGGTGCTGCACAGCCTCCCGTCCGTCCGCCAGTATCTGTTCTCCCTGTACGAGTGCCGTTACTCTGTCTTCTTCCAGTCTCTGGGTGAGTTTGTCTCTTGTGGCTTTTTCAAAATAAAGCTGCACGGGTCGAGTCCAACGTGTACTCTGTGTCGGATAAACGGCTTTCCTATGTCATCCTGACGCGAGCGTGTTGGTTGCAGCTCTGGTGGAGCAGGAGATGAAGAAAGACTGGCTCTTCGCCCCACACTACCGCTACTATGTGAGGGAGATGAGGATCCAGGCCTACAGCCAGCTGCTGGAGTCCTACCGCTCCCTCACGCTGGGGTACATGGCCGAGGCCTTCGGCGTCAGCACAGAGTTCATCGATCAGTGAGTCGACGTTTACACCACTGTTTTATAACTCATCATTTGTTTAGTCTGCATGAACTCAGACTGAACATATTGGTTCTCCTTTTCTCTAATAATTATAGAAATGGATCCGATCGGGGTGGGTGTTATGGTCTTAAAGTTCTTTTTACAATATTTTATGGTACTGTTCTGATGATAAAAGACCTACAATATATATATTCTTTAGGTAACTATGTTTGTGACTACATAGGAATCATATCCCCTCAAACACAATTACTGCTTAGCTTAACTTTGAGTATTTTGAATTCCCTGACCATCCTCTTGACTGTTTGGTGACAAGATGGGTCCTCCAGGATGGATTATTAATTAAAAGTAAATGAAGTCATTAAATGTTCATCTTTAAAAAGGTTGAACATAAGTAAATGATTTTACTTCACTTATGTTCATTTTAAAAGGGATTGCTCGGGGAGCCAACAGCCTTGCAGATTTTACTTATTTTGCTAAATTCTCAATCGTTTTTCTTTGTTGTCAAATGAAAGGTTTCTCTGTTTTATGTTTACTGCTTTAAAAAAAGAGATTAATTTGAAAGTTTTCACACATCCTTAAAAAGGTTGAAGGCTATATTTAGATCAGACGTCCGCCGTCTACTAAACGGTAGTTTTTGGTCAAACTTTAACTTTATCCAAAAACAGAACATTTATTTAATTAGTAACTTATTTCCAACTCAGAACTTTGATTTATGTGAAGGTTCACAGGAATCCTCACGCAGTTCTTTGTTTTAGGCCAACCGACTCAGATCTCATTTCCTTTCCGTAGGGAACTGTCCCGATTCATCGCCGCCGGACGTCTGCACTGTAAAATTGATAAAGTTAACGAGATTGTGGAAACTAACAGGTAACATGAACACATTT